TCTTCTGAATTGGTTGAGGAACATATGTCAATTAATGGCCTGTTTATATGGAAGCCGGGATGGCCCGCTTAGCAAGACAGCCCGGTAAGCGGGATGAATTTCTCTTATGTTTATATGAGAAACTTTCATCCCGCTTGCCAGGACAATTTTGTTACATTGTATTGTTTTGACAGTTGTTAAAAATAGCTTGCGGCGGTATCTTTGAACTTTCATCCTGGCAACCAGGATAGCCCGCTTGTAAATGTTTATATGGAGAAATTTCCATCCCGGTAAGCGAGATCTAGCCTCTTTCAAACGAGATCTCGGCAACCCGGGCCAGCCTGCTTGTCCATATAAACGCATGATAATTTTTACTATAAAAATAACTACATAGCGAGATCTTGCTTACCAGGCTGTCTCGCTTATCAGGCCAGCCCGGCTTCCATATATACAGGCCCTAAGTCTGAAAACAATGATGAGGACTTTGATGAAGAGAGCTGTACCATAGATGATGATGATGTGAATTCCAACACAGAAACTGAGGGAAATTCTAAAGTCAATGAGTTACAAATTCTATACAATGCTGTATTCATTCTTCACCAAAAGGTGCAAGAAATACTAAAACTGAATCTTCCTTGGCCACCATTGGCATCTGATTTGACAATGGATAATATTTCAAATCCGACTATGAGGACTGGACTAGATTTCAAGTCCACGCAATTTGATCACGTCCGAGGCGAAGCAGAGGACTGGATCAAAATGTGAGGACTTGAAATCTAGTTCAGTCCGAATTGGAGGATTTGAAATGACATCTCATGCGAATAAATCACTACTTAATTAATTTTTATCCAGTCCTAGGACACTACAGGATCAATATACTTCATAAAGTATCCAGTATTATCATGTGAGCAAAATAAAGCAATATGGTTGGCTAATTTGGTCATGAATTATTAATGATTTGAGGTGAACAATGATGGTAAATGCATGTAGGTATTATCAGTGGAGTAGATCAGTATTTATTTACTTATTCGATATTCTCATTCGGATCCACAGTATTTATATTATCAACACATATATCCCTCTCATGGACAGGGTTAACAGTATGGTCATGTCTGAGAAGCTAAAACGCACCCTGGTGGAGAAGCTGAAACTCACAGCAGCAAATCATAAAAAGTCAACTAGTGTGGACACGAAAAAGCAGGCTGAATCGTTCCTTGTTATTCTAGATAGTGGCTAAATACCAACTTATGTCACAATATAAATATAATACATGAAATAGTTCAAATACGAGAAGTACAACTTTACCAGACAAAAGCCAGGACGGCTTATTGCAGAATACATGCAATCTCGTTTTGAGCGTGCAAGCCCTTGGCCAGGATCCAATAAGCGGGATTTTATTGCTCTGATGAAACTCTGGGTTCAAAGATGAAAACATTTCTTTCAATTATAGATAGCTATAATGAAATTATGGATTTTATATTTCCTCCTGATTTTTTTTTATGAATTTCGAGTTTATATAAATATCCCTTAAAGCCCGGGATGAACTTGGGAACACTGTTATCATATTATTTGTCTTTCCAGTCTTTCAGTATGTCATATTGTCTTATCAGCGTCGGCAAACGGATAAAGAGTGTTTCACAAATATTTCATTTTAATTGTTCCTTGATCGTGTGAATTGTATGCATATATATTTTTTATTCTCCGTCCTGTTTGATACAGGTAGGTTTTTTACCTCACACAAATTTGCATTGAATTAGGATGTTAATGTAAAGTATAATTAAACGTTAAAACGGTATTTTGAAACAATAGCCAATGAATTGAAGTGATTTAGCATATGAGCAAGCAAAATATATAATGTGTTTTTAACAATATTTAATGTGGGTGTATTTATATTACAAGGTTTGATCAGTATTCTGTGATTTTATTTTGTTGTTTTTGCGGAGGAAATCGGGGAAACCCCCCAGCGAGAATCTATTTTTATAGTCTGCGCGTGCGCAGTGCGAGTTTGACTGAGTTGCGCATGCGTATTTGCTACCAAAATAATGGCGGTTCGAATATTTCGAAGCGCGAAAATATCAAACTTTGGAGGGATTTTTCTCCCAATTGTGCACCTGTTTCACTTGGGGAGCAACGGGTTCTGATAAAGTAAGTTTTTATCTATTTATTCATGTGAAAATTACGTAGTTCCACGAGGGGTGCAACGGAATTGCATCTTTTGGATGCTCATCCCACGGCCTAATTTCATTGATGAGTGGGAACGACCAATATGGCCGCCGCCTATTTTCATGGGGGAAACCGCTGAGATTTTTGGCTTCAGTTTTGTATTCCGAGATGCGCTATCTAGTGTATATGAGATATCTATGGAAGACTCTCTCCTCCGCAGAGGCTTTATAATTGGCTATTTCGCCTTTCCCTTTGCCGCCTGCGCTCCTTCGCCCAGCGGCTACGCTCGTGTTTCAAGATCCGCCATGTAAAGTGTAGTGAAATGTATCTCATCGTAATACTCATCCCTGTACTCACCCTAAGAAAACTAAAGCCTCTGCGGAGGAGAGAGTATGGAAGAGATGTGTGGAAAACCTTATAAAAAATAATGGTAGACCCTAGACATGGATTACATAGTTTATTGCCAGAAACAGTTAATCAGATAAGACCACTCTCATCCGCAGAGACTTACGAATTTTTAGTAAAATTACGTAATATTACGGGGGGAGGGACAAATTACGCAAGGTATTATGGGAAGACGGAAGCTACGTTTGTAAACCATCGATCTCACTCCCCCCCCGTCGCGCACCACTAAATGTCCTCTACTATCCCTACATTATCCCTACAAATCCTATAATAATTCAGACTCTGTGGAGGAGAGTGAGATAAGACAGAGACAAACTAGATCAAATGGAGAAAAACTGTATAATTTTAGATATCGAAACGAACGATTTAAAAGTAGCCCTATTGTCTTATTGAGTATTGAAGTAAATTTGTCGATCCCTTAGTTAGAATTCTTATAAATTTTAAATGGAATTCACATTGTAAATTAGTATATACTATTTTTATGAAAGATTAATAAATTTGTCGATCCCTTAGTTAGAATTCTTATAAATTTTAAATGGAATTCACATTGTAAATTAGTATATACTATTTTTATGAAAGATTAATAAATTTGTCGATCCCTTAGTTAGAATTCTTATAAATTTTAAATGGAATTCACATTGTAAATTAGTATATACTATTTTTATGAAAGATTAATAAATTTGTCGATCCCTTAGTTAGAATTCTTATAAATTTTAAATGGAATTCACATTGTAAATTAGTATATACTATTTTTATGAAAGATTAATAAATTTGTCGATCCCTTAGTTAGAATTCTTATAAATTTTAAATGGAATTCACATTGTAAATTAGTATATACTATTTTTATGAAAGATTAATAAATTTGTCGATCCCTTAGTTAGAATTCTTATAAATTTTAAATGGAATTCACATTGTAAATTAGTATATACTATTTTTATGAAAGATTAATAAATTTGTCGATCCCTTAGTTAGAATTCTTATAAATTTTAAATGGAATTCACATTGTAAATTAGTATATACTATTTTTATGAAAGATTAATAAATTTGTCGATCCCTTAGTTAGAATTCTTATAAATTTTAAATGGAATTCACATTGTAAATTAGTATATACTATTTTTATGAAAGATTAAAAAAGATTAACACGCAAGTACTCAATGAATCAATGAGACGCACATGTTTAATATATCTGTCACCTGCATGTGATTGCCCTTTAACCCCTGGTGTTGGCAACAACTGCATTGCTTTTCTCGAATCGATTCCGTATGCTTTGGCCACAGTGCTCACCAGTCGCTGGCTCACTGCGAGTAATAACTGTGCTGAATTTGTACTATTTAGTTCTATTTGCTCTTAATGCCAACAGCAATCCCTACCTTGCAGGAAGTGGTTTGTTTTGTCGAACCTGCCCGCCTCAAATGTCCATGTTTATAATAATCAACACGGGATTAAATCACCTCGCAGCAAAGCGAGATAGCTCGGTTGCCTGTTATGTAAATGCTAATGCCAAACTCCACACTTCTTATTTTCGTCTTATATAAGGTATACACAAAATGCCTTCGCTTGGCACTTTACGATCCGGTTCAAAACAAAATCAAAAGAGTAACAGCGACCCACTGCAAACAGCTCATAGATTAGAAACGAACAACATATAGATTGCAGACTTTATATACTAGCTTTATATGCTAGCTTTGTATACTAGCTTTATATACTAGCTTCCCGAGGGCCGAGACTTTATATACTAGCTAATTCCCGATGAAGTGCTTTCGCTCGAAACGTGGTATAGAGTACAGTGCATTCCATGTATAAAACGATACGCCAGATTTTAATACGCCATGGAAAACTCGTGCTAGGAAGACTTGAGACAAAAAGTCTTTGGAATACCCTAAATATGCATGGAAAACTTGTGCTAGGAAGACTTGAGACAAAAAGTCTTTGGAATACCCTAAATATGCTTGTAATAAATATGCTTTGTACTGGGAAACCCCGCAACATCGTTATAGCATTCTGATTGGTTCGATCCCTCCGATCCCTTATATGTGCTTTCGGCCAATCAGCAAAGACTTTACGAGAGGTGCTATACTTCTGTTCATACTTGAGTAAATCAATGTTAAAATCTCCCATTAGATAGCAAGGTTTATTTTCTCTATCTACTTTCGATAGGATTTCACTTAAAGCTTTTTCAAATTCATCATATTTGCTATTGGGTGGTCGATAAATAATTCCGACTATAACATTAGGGCTATTATGGTTCAGGATTTCAATTAGAAAAGACAAAGAAAAATTCCGCTCCGTGCGCAAAATTCCGCCTAGTGCAAAGCCGGCTTTAGGAACTCAGGAGATGGGAAACTATAAAGTCTAATATAGAGGCATCTTGGCGTTGTTTATAGACATAATGTTATAACATTTACCTATTGAATAGCGACTTTGGATTATTAATATAATAAATTAATAAATACCTCATCATCGCCATCTTCATAGCCTTCTGTGGCTGGCTCATCTGTGTCTGGTTCATATGCCTTTTCCTCGATTAGATCTTTAACTTCACCATGATATGGAAATGAAATACGTTGCGCATTTGCGTAAAACACCACGCAAGCAAAAAGCGTTATAATGGCGAGAGATCTCATGACTGGCTTCGAAAAACCCAGACTCAACAATGTAAAGAGTCTCCAGAATTGTGTTGTTTTATATATGATATGGTAATTCAATACTTTATTGTCTTGCGTGAGCTCTGACAGATGTCAGTAGCATGTTGGTGATAATTTTCTTTGATAAAATGTTCTCATAGTCGCGTGTCGTGTTTCGTGGTACGCTGTACGAAAAAGACTCCATTGTTGGCATTGAGATTACTCAATTATTCAGATTAAAAATTCCATCTTTAAATTCAGTATTTGACTGACAAGAATTGAGTTTTCAATACAATTAAAATATTACTGCAAAATGTTTGCCGTCTCTTATTACCCTTCTGCTTCTCAAATTCTGTGCCTTTTGTAATTGAATATTTCATCACCTTATCGGCACGACGAAATTTTGGAAAAAATTGTTACATTTTTTACTTTATTAGCCAGCTAGCAGTCTCATAACATCGTCGCAAACCATGTGATGGAACTGCACACAGGCTATTACTGTATCACAATACTTTACATAACGAACGCAATCATGTTATGTAAATTAGATGTAGTTAGTAAATCCTCCGTGAGTTTTTGTGCCTTTTTGTCAAGCACCATTTCTGCTTACGAGCAAACAAGTGAACGAAACCGTGACTTGCTTCTGCACGTGTTCCAGAAAGAACATGCAAAGATTGCAAACCAAGGTATAAGAGCCTTAATCATGTAATGATTATGTTTAAGATTCAAGGTTGTACCAGAAGCTTATAACAAATATAGTGTTTATTTTGCGTCTTATGGCATTGTTAGTGTTCTGCTGCTTTCGGTAACTCGCTTTGTAATTATAGACTAAATCGCGAAAAGTTGTAATTTTTCCTCGAATTTTTCTCAGAGCCATTAATTTGACTATGAGGTAGTGCTAATGGTAGCAAAACGTCGGTTGATAGGGACTACTTGGCAAATACAGGGAGAACTTCAAAGTTCTCCTTCAATTTTTTAGGTATAGTTGCATTCATATGACCGAAATTTTAGGTTATGATTAGTTTATCAACCACAAAATAGGAACAAAATATCCGTAAACGTGTTTCATTTACGCAAAGGAAATTTGTGGTTGTATGTATTCATGTTCTAAAGTTTGTTCGTTCACTGCAACCAGGTGAATCATGTTTTGCTCGCTACTCTGGATAAATTATATAGGTTAAAAAGTGGTTATGTTAGTGTTATGTTGAATATATTATGTGTACGTGTGTGTCAGTTGAATTGTGACCTGAGAGTTGTAATAAATATTTTTAACTGGTCAATAGCATTTTATAACATTTTACTAAACGTTGAACAAGAGTGGAACTCGACCGGTATCAATGCTTTGATAAGGAAGTTATTAGTTCGTATGCTGCTGTCCACACGACCTGCAGAGCAATGATATTGCATTTTTTTAATGTTTATATTTGATTATGATAAATGCTCTACCAGCATTTCATGAATGACTCGGCATTTTTTATTTCGCAATTTGACTCGTGCTACTAAGAGATTATTATTATTATTATTATTATTACAATATTGCCTGCTCCCAAAAGGGCTTTTCAGCAGGTAATTACAAATCATTTATATGCTACAAACAATATATATACACCCACAAACACACATACATACATACAACACAAATTAAAATTTTATAATTATTACTAGTAATATCACTTTAAAAATGTTAACTACTTCCTAATAAAATCCATACAGTAAAAACGTTTATATGCTAATTTAAATTAACAAGCCCAAATTGTCTAAAACTATGAAATACTTTCTAAACTCCATGCAATAAATGACATTTATATTCTAATTTAAACCGGTCCAAAGTGTCAATGTCTTTAATATGATTTGGGAGCTTATTCCAAATAGACACTGCGCGATAATGAAACGCTCGCTGACCCTGAGATGTACTTTAAGTTTGCGCTATAATAATCTGCTCTTATATATCTTATTTTCATTGTTGTTAACATGCATCAAGAGGGTGCGCACTTGGGGATTGATTTGCGCACCTGTACTATAGATATTATCAGGGCATATTCACGGCAACGGCAGCAAAGCCAGCAATTTCTCGGACAGTCAACCCCGCATATAAATACACAGTTTTACAGGATGAGCTTGATACTTTATTAACTGGCATGCAGAACACCCTACAGGCTACTGAGTTGCCGAGTCGGGGAAATCAATAACTCAACGTTTTAAGAAAAACATATGGTGGCGTATCCCTCAAGAATTAATTATGAAGAAAAACGAAAAACTTACCATCGAAGCCAACAAGAAAATAGTAGATTTTTTAGAGGTCACCCAAAATCCGTCTACCCAAAAGTACCAGCCGTTTACTAAACCAAATAATATGCCACTCTACGTCCACAAAAAATCAAACCATCCACCCAAAATACTAGACAACATACCAGCCGCGATCAACAAACGCCTTTCCGAAATTTCATCTGACGAGGACTCGTTTCAGCGTGCAGGCCATTGTACCAAAAAGCCCTAACAAAGAGCGGTTATCAACATAAATTGAAATACCAACAACCTCCGACATCCCAAAATACCATCAACTCAAGGAGTCGGAAACGAAATATAACCTGGTACAACCCACCGTTCAGCAAAAATGTCGCCACCAATGTTGGTCAGACTTTTTTAAAGATTTTAGACGAGGAATTTCCCGCAGGCCATATCTTACACAAGATATTCAATAGAAATACCGTCAAGATTAGCTACAGCTGCATGAGCAATTTTAAACAAAACATCGACGGACATAACAAATCCAAGCTATCCCACCGAGCTAAAACCCCCGATGAAAAAAAGTGCAATTGCCAAAAACTAAGTGAATGCCCTATGTCAAAAAATTGTCTAGCAAAATCTGTTATCTACCAAGCCACAGTAAAAGCATCTCTGACAAGCGGCCCACTCAAACCGCATATGTTGGACTAACAGAAAATGAATTCAAAACCCCATACACCAATCACAAAGCTTCATTTAATAACTATGAGAAGCGCAACTCTACTGAATTAAGTAAATACATCTGGAATCTTAAGAACAACAACATTAGTTACTCTATCAGATGGAAAATTTTAAAACGTGCTAAATCTTACAGTAATGCATCCAAGAGATGTAACTTGTGTCAGGGGCGGATCCAGCCAAAAATCTGACCGTAGCATTTTCCAAGACCTCGCATAGCTAGGGGGGTCCGGGGGCATGCCCCCCCGGAAAATTTTTGAAATTTGAAGCCCGGAAATGCCATTTCCTGCGTTCTGAGCACTGCATGTGACCATTAAATTTGCCCTCATTGTACTCATTTCTCAAGCAAAAATAAGCCGAAATGATCTCAAAATGTAAACTACTGCTCGCGTATATTTTAACATACGATATCGGTATGATACTCGTATCATACGCATATCATTATCAATTGAATACCGAAATGCGCGTATCATCTACGAACGCGCGTATCATACGAATACGCATATCATATGAACGCGCGTATGATATGAATACGCGTATCTTACGAATATATACGCATTACAAACAAATATTAGCGCGCTATAAAACACGATATATATACGCGCATATCATAATTCGCGTATTAATTCCAATACATGCAGGTATACTGTACATACGCGCACAAACACTTTAATAAAGCGAAGTTAATAGCGAACACACTATACAGTAAAAACTCAAATTAAAATATAATGTGCATCTCTTATCATTCATAAGGCTTACCTGACTGGAAATGATTCGTTTTACTATCTGATTTTATTTCTACCTCGACGCATATAAATCCTTTAGCTTTCCGACGGCTTTCATTTCGAAATGCACACAACCGTACTGTGGGTTCCCAATAGCATGTTGTTGATGAGCCAAACACAAATATCAGATATTCCATCGTTCTGGAGCAGTAGCCAATTTCATGCCACCGTAGCAAACTATAGCATTTGCCCCGTTCCGATTGGTTTGCTACGTTTGACCGTAGCAAACCAATCAGAATGCCGTATATGCCAATTTTCGCTACGGTCAGATTCGACCTTAATGAATCTGACCGTAGCTAAAATTGATCATATATGGGCAACACGCTACGGTGTATTTCTGAAGGATGATATTTTCTAAGCTATAGTCCATTGCGTAATGACCCGCAAACGGGCAATTACAACCGTATTTTCGGGAGGGAATTCTTAAAACAATTAACGTTACGTATTATAAATGTCATCAATTTGTCAAAATAAAATGTTTTAGAACATATAAAACTAAATAAAATAAAACCTTGAAATATAAACAAGGAAAGTAAACAAAATATTGCTAAATTATATTTTAGATTGATTTTATGATCCATGTTAGAACTGGCCTATGGAAAATCTGACCGTAGCATATGCTACAGTTGCAACGGTCTAAATCCGCCCCTGAAATTGTGTATTTGGGAGAAGTATTTTATTATTTGTAAACCGGACATTGCAACACTTAATCGTCGCAACGAACTTGTCTCCACGTGTAGACACGCTAATAAATATCTACTTAAAAACTTTATAACTTGATACTAATATTTCGTGACACTGCTTAAGGTGTTAATTGATCTGTAATTAGATAAGCATCCTTTACTATCTGTACATATTTAAAAAGTTCGTTAGAAGCTAGAGGTCAAACATAGGCTATTTTATCTGAAGAGTGCCACGTTATTTACGTGGTACGAAACTGTATAGTAATAAATTTTCCAAACAAAGCTTGCTAAGTTTTTGTGTCTTTCTATTATGCTCTGGTTATCCATTGAGCACTCTATCACGGGTTTTTGTGGGTAGCTGCGCATGCGTAGCTAACCACTATGTGAGAGACTGAAGCGCTATCTTCCGTTTCTCTGTGGCTCTGTGGCGCTGTGGCCTTCGTGTCCGCGGTGTCCTGCTGCACGGTTCCTTTTATCCTTGAAATACGAACCGTCTATAGACCACAGGCTAAGTTCACTAACGCTCATACCGTACAGAGATGTGTATAAATTCTTAGTAAAGTCTTTATTGTAATATGTTTTGTCAGGTCGATAGTCATTTCCAACGCATATAGAATCGAATATGTCGTTGTTTTATAATCACTGCTTGTACAAGGGTCATTGGGGTTAATATTAGCGCAAG